AAGAGATTGGCCTCTGATAAATTCTTTGTTATGACTCATAATTAGACCTAAAGCTTAATAGACCTTTCTTTAAAAATGAACTAATTAATTTATGCAAATTGGAGGAGATAGGGCTACTATTCAGTAATTATTGATTCACGTAATCAACATGGACACAAAACAGATTTAATTGCAAAACATAGCCCCCTGTTCATCTATGGAAGATTGGCAATATCGCATATATTGTTTCTTTTCATAAAGAAAAGTGTCACGGCACAAACAAATACGGTTTCAACATAAAGCTTTCTCTTTTATATTAAATGATAAATTCTTAGACATTCAGCTTTTTGACAGAGAAGCTGAAAACAGGCCATAAACAGTAATGACTGGTTTCATCTGGTTCACTTGTTGAGCATTTATACACATTCATGTTCCATGGTATCCGCACATGCACGTGTGGCTATGCTGGAGGCCATTTTGGATGGATCAGTGCTCACATTTTGATGGCAATGCTTAAGAAAATTAGTAGGTGTGTGTGTGGGGAGGGGAATCCAGCAATTTATTTCATGTTAAAGAGTGTTCAGCCTAATGCCACATTAAAATGGAGAAGAGAAGACAGACATTTCTCCATTACCTGACCTGGAACTAATTTGACAGTATACATTTTGGAAATATGACAAGAAGTTGAGAAACTTGGGTTTCTTGTTTGCTTGAGGCAAAAGTGAGACACAGAACATTTTTAAATGCTCATTAATAATCAGTAACTAAATAAGAAAAAGTCTAGTCTTAGCTCCTTTAAAGGAACCCTCAGTCTTATAATTTGAGAAAGGAAATGCAGAAATATTATGTACTTTTAGGGGCATGAAAGCCCTGTGTGTGGCTCAAAAAGGCTCAGCCCTTTATGGACACTCCTTGTTGTGGACCTCATCACCTGTTAATTATGTGTGTTTTTTAAAGTCACAAGCCCTATGTAGCTCAACTCAGAGTGTAAGGTGACTACATTTCCTCTTTTATGGAGGATCGTCCTCCATTTGAAGAGCTGCCAGAGGATCATCCATTTTTTACAAGTGCCCTTCATTGGAAAGGCTATCTAACCAAAATCTATTTAAAGCTAAAGGACAGTGATCAGGGACCCTGAAATTGCCCTTTCACAGTGCACACCTGGACAGTTCATTTAGCAGACGCACAAGATTATCTGGTCATTCAAGTGAGATGCACAGTAAGTCAGTTTAAATTATAAAAATCAGTTCTGATTTTGCATCTATCTATCTATCTATCTATCTATCTATCTATCTATCTATATATATATATATATATATATATATATATATACATACACACAAATCAACATATCCAAATGCAAATCAAAGTCTTCCTTTTTTTGTGATGCAAGCCCTCAAGGTTGTGCAACTGGCTACCCTATCTGTATGTGTATATTCTCTAGTAGATCATGAAAGCTCATGAACAAGGGCTACTTAATGGATTATTTTAAAATTCCGGTGAAGTAATGATCACTTATATTGACCTACCTGCTACCACCTCTTTCTTCATTCTTCCCTCCTAAAATCCAGCCATTTTGACTTAGCTCTTCTTCACATAACAAATTATGTGCCCATATATATGATCATTGTCCATTGATTTCCCTCTGCCTTCTGTTTATCATTTTCCTATTATCTACCTTTGTACATCAGTTCTGTACTGACCTAACTTTTCATTATATTACTTAGACACCTCTCAGTCCCCTACATGGTAAAATGTGTTGCTAGCTCTTACAAGGGTAGCAGCAAGCATCCAACATAATCAAAAGGAGGGATGTACAGCTGTATCTTTATTTATAAATGCCATATGAAAATGTTATGTGAAAAAATTCATCTCTTCAGTAAAACTGGGTGCAGGGAAGGGAATTAATCCAACATCCTGCCTCTGTCACTTTTGCCTCTTCCTCCCATTGAGCTATCTTTCAGAATCTAAAAACCACATGTCATAATTGTTCTTACAAGATTATAGATTAAAATAATGTGCTTGTCTCTGTTTTATTGGAGCAAACCTTAAAATATTCTGAGAAAAAGAAATCATACCACTAGAATCTGCTTGTCACCAACCACCGCTCAGGCAGAAACGTCACTCAGCTAGGCTGTCACATCCATGACAATCATAATACAGTTTGGCTGAATCATAAGCGGAAGTACAGTAGTTGAGAAGATAAGGGCCAGCTGCATCTGCTGTGCTATCAATCTACCATCAAGCCTTTTGCTAAGTCTGGGTTTGGTCAAAGTGGATTTCATGCTGGCCAAAAACTCATGAACAATATACCATGCAACCAAATGCAAAATTCTGTGAAAAGACTCAATACATATATATACTAGCTACCACTAGTACCAACCGCAGGGAAATAATACCAAGAGCTGAATATTAATGTATGCTACCTAGAAACATGGGAGGGGGACATGATAATGTGCATCAGAAAACAGTATATTGAAATAAATGATACCCAAAGGAGATGTAGTTTTGCCTGAGTGATCAGGCTGAAACCACAAGATACCTCACTTGCATTAATTAGGGTCTCTGTTAATAAGACCAAGTTCTTTGGGTCTTGATTAAGACACAAAGCCACTGGTGTGACAGAAGGGTTATTCCATAGATGGTGTTTTTTTAAAAAAAAACAAGGATGAAGTATAGTACAATTAAGGAAAAGGAAGCAGGTATATCCTCTTCATACCCAGGCTTCCATCAGATATAATCCTCAAAGGGCATAATCAAAGATCTGTTCTTTCCACCTCAGCGGAGCACAGACTACCAGGAAGTTAAAAATGGGGTTTTATACTTGGCCTCCTCTTCTTTTGCAGTATAGCATGCATGGACAGGGAGGCGAACAATAGTCAGGCAGCGTGTTCTACTGAAAGGAGGGAGAAAAGAAGGGAGATGTACACCCTAAGGGAGACAAATTCTTTCTCTGACCAGTTTAACATAATGTCACCTTGACAAGATGAACTACTGTCAGAACAGCCACCTGGTAAGCTACTCTCATAAAGTCAGAAGGTTTGCTTGTGTTATCTTTACATCATCACATCTCCTCAAAAGCTGTTGACATGAAACTGGGAATAAATGGGTCTCATACAGCAAATTTCCCATTCACCACATGAGTTGTCTTATTATATATTGAGAGTGTGATATCCACATCATTAACTGAGGCACCAATATGTTCATAAAGCAAACATGGTCATCATCAGTAGATAGCCTGAGGTTGATCAAGTCAACTGCACAAGTCAGTAACCCTCTCATGATTTGTATACTTTCTGCATGCTTTGTAAAATCATTGCAAGTTACTGCAGTTGTTTGCTCATCACTGAAAAATGCTTAACTTCTTACTCAAGGCTGCTACAGATTTCTTTGACACCTCTTCACTGCAGAGTAGTTGCTGTGAATCGATCACAGTATTTCACAGGTCATTGCTTCAGGACAAGGGAAAAAAAATTTTCAATCCATCTCTGGTCACTCTCATGATGGAGATTCTGGTGCCTTCCAGTGGCACAGAGAAATCTGCTTCCAGTATTCATTCTGAGAGCTGACTGATATGACCACTGTGAGGGGCTCACATCTGAAGAAAAGCAAGAGTTCTATTTCAAGTTTTAACTAACAAGCAGTAAATCCATCCTGAAGTATACGATGATTTTATAGTGAGGATGGGGAATGTCCTATTTGTTTTTTCTAAGCACTGCCAATAAAACAATTGGCATACCAGAGAAAAATCAAGGCTAATTACCTGTTCTCTGATAAATTATCTTCTGTAGATGGGGTTATTTTGCTTCGATGTGTTTGTTTCAAAAGAAAAATTTTTTTGACATGGGAGGTAATTCAGAGGAGCATAGATTTTTCATATTTTGATATTTTGACAGAACTCAAGAGAACATTCTTGCAGCTATAGTAACCTTAGATGGCTGTCCAGTCCCTATTTAAACATTCTCAGCAAAAGAAAATGTACTTAGCCACCAAACCAGGACTTTTCTGAGCCCTCCACCTAGAGTCCTAGGAGTCATGTCTCCCATCATCCTTTACTGGTCCAACAAAATATTGGATAAAGCAGGTACTGTATAATGCAAGGAAGCCAATGAGAAGTGCCTCACTTTAGGCTAAAGAGTTGGCTTCTCAGGAGCCTGCAGTTCTTCAACAAAAGTCACTTGAAGCTATTTATAGAACAGCAATCATCAGAATGCCTTGTTATCTTGTCTCGTGGATAGTGGACATGGAAATATCTAAACAGTGCCACTTTGGTGCCTCATGGTATAACTATTATAAGACCTAGAAGGTCCCTTTTGTCCCACTCAAATTTCTGGATTCTTTGCTGATTTAGACATGAAGCTCTTTTCAAGAAAGTTTGAATAGAGAGAAGTAGGCAATTCTTTTCATAAACGGATGTTGCAAAGCTGATAGAGCTTTAGATGACACTCACATTATAATGGTAGTAGATAAATAAAAGAAGCAAAGAGACACTCCTCTACATTAAAGTAACAAAATTAAGGCAAAGAGGAAGCTGTGTTTCCATATTTCATACCAATACCTCCCTTGAATTAGACCCTTGATCAAGTTGCAGTTGGGAAAGTAATGAATGACACTATAGGTGATAACTAAATTGCCACATCTTCGGCAGGGAACAAACTTGTTAACTACATTTAAAGTTAGATTACCAGGAGGCAGGCAGACTAGAATAAATGCATGTTTTGTCTGTTGATAAGAACAATTGACCAACGGGAATGAAGTATACATGCATACCACTACTGACTCCCTGATGGCATTGGTTGTTATAACATGGCAGCAGTTTTGCTTTGGATCATCAAAGCAAGCAATAGTTAAATATCAGGTTGTAGCTGGGCTACAACAGCTTTGAAAACAGTGCTGTATCTCTGGGGTTTTTCATATATACGTACATTCATCTGAAAGGCTGGAAAAATGGGGGGGGGGACAAAAATATGTGTAAAGACACATATTGTGTTTTGAAATGCCTAGATGGCTCCACATATTACCTGAATTGTCAGACGGAGGAGTAATGCTGTTGTCCCCGGTCTCTAAAATAACAGCAAGACCAGCTGAGTTAGAAGGCAGAAGGTTGGTATTGAAATCCACACGGGTAAGACTTGTTGCTTCCTTTTCATTTCTCATTAGAATACCACGGACGTTTCCCCTTTCAGTTTGAATCCCTTCTTGATCCCTTTTCTGTGAATTCTGAACAACATGGACAATGCTTTGCTGGGGCAGGTCACAGCTCTGAAACGCAAGAATAAAATTCTCCTGAATATTAAAATTCTAAATGAAAGGAAACATTACCTATTCTGTAATTTTAAAAAGTTGCTCCCAATGCATTTTATTTAGAATTTCAGTGTTTCATTCATAGGCATCCTTCAGTCTCGAGAGACTATGGTAACATGCTCTGTATGGAGGACTTGGAACAGCATCTAGTGTTTTGACACTGTACGCAAAGCTGGAGTGTCCTCTCCAGGGCATGAAGCCTGGGTAAAATAATATGGAGGATAGGCTGTTACCCAAGGAGCAAATCCCCCCTCTCCACGTCACTGAAATAGTCCAATGGAAAGGCAAGAGCCAATACAACTGGTTCCAGCAATGTCGCAGGAGTTGGCAGAACGACACAAACTGCCTCCGGGACTCTGGCTAGCAAATGGAATATTGAATTTTGAATTATTAATACTCATCATGATCAGGCTACTCAGATATTTCTAAATATTTGACTAATGAACACTCTAAACAACTCTAAATTAAATATGTGAAAAGATAAGCTGAAGTCAATGTTGGAACTGCATTTTGGGCCAGCATAATGAGCCCTTCTAAAGGCTCAAGCATGCAGAAATGTGGTGGATTTAGTGCTACAATATGGTTTAATATTGTGTAAACAAACTCAGTTTAACATAATAGAAATAAGAAGTCATTACACCTTCTTTTCTCCCCCTCAGGTGTGCCTCTTTCAGAAACATCTAACTAGGTTGATAACAAACCACAATTAATTGTTGCACCTAAACCCTAAGAAGTATTGTTTGTGCAAGATGTACTTTCTTGGGTATGAATGCAGTAGACATTTTTTACAGCACTCTGTCGTCCCCTTCTCCTCTTGCTTTCACACTTTCCCAACATCAGGGTCTTTTCCAGGGAGTCTTCTCATGAGAAGGCCAAAATATTGGAGTCTCAGCTTCAGGATCTGTTCTTCCAATGAGCACTCAGGGTTGATTTCCTTCAGAATGGATACATTTGATCTCCTTGCAGTCCAGGGGACTCTCAAGAGCCTTTTCCAGCACCACAATTCAAAAGCATCAATTATTTGGCGGTCAGCCTTCTTTATGGTCCAGCTCTCACTTCCATACATCACTACAGGAAAAACCATAGCTTTGACTATGCAGACCTTTGTTGGCAAGGTGATGTCTCTGCTTTTTAAGATTCTGTCTAGGTTTGTCCTCGCTTTCCTCCCAAGAAGCAGGTTTTTTTAAATTTTGTGTCTGCTGTCACCATCTGCAGTGATCACGGAGCCCAGGAAAGTAAAATCTTTCACTGTCTCCATATCTTCCCCCTCTATTTGTTCTTCTTTGGGATTGGGATGTAGACTGAACTTTTCCAATTCTCTGGGCACTGAGTTTTCCAAACTTGCTGGCATATTGAGTGTAGCACCTTAACAGAGTCATCTTTTGAAATTTTAAATAGTTCAACTGGAATGCCATCACCTCCACTGGCCTTGTTGTTAGTCATGCTTTCTAAGGCCCACCATCCTTCACAGGATGTCTGGCTCAACGTCAGGAACAACACTATTTGGGTTGTCCGGGACATCCAAGGCAAAGCAAAGCGTGCTGCTTATATACCGCCCCATAGCGCTTCAAGCACTCTCTGGGCAGTTTACAAGTTAACTATGCAAGCTACACATTCCCCCCCCCCCCCAGCAAGCTGGGTACTCATTTTACCAACCTCGGAAGGATAGAAGGCTGAGTCAACCCCAGGTTGTGAGCACAGTTTTGGCT